AACTGACTCAACTGAGCTTACTATATTGAGTATTCTTGAGCATTGCTTTAGTCAGTGCCCCCACTGTGCCCTCTTTCTTTATTTATTCTAGCTACGCCACTGTTTAAAGAAGTTTATTTTTTATTACATTTTCTGATTCAAATTCCCTAATACCGGTATGTAGTAATTATATACTCATAGATCTATAGACAGCTAGAATAACTTTTGGTTTCCCATATTTAGTCTACATGTACAATGTACATGTATGTCTCCTGAAATCTCCCATTTAATTGTACACTTTACAATGTACATGTATATATACACACAAAATGTACATGTTGGTGGGTGAAAATTTTATTGTATACAGCAACAATAGCATATGTATTATTGCGTTTATGTGTATATGGTTGCCTCTTTATAATTATTATTAATTATTTTTATAATTTTAAGCTTTTTAAAGAGGAAGAAGGAGCCATTAAGGTTGATCTTCATGAAGGGTGTGGTCATATTAAACTTTATTGGACTATGATTGGACTATGGTACTCACTGACTCACGTACCCTTAAAGGAATGAGTAAATTTATAAAGACACTGTAGGAGGTAAATATACTGAATTATACTGAGACAGAGGTAAATATACTGAATTATGCTGAGACGTATTGTCCTTAAGCATAATACTGAATAACTAAATTAACTTACTGAGTTATTTGAACTACATCATTTATTGTAGAGTGAATCCTACATTGTAGCACTACCACAATTACTAATAGTACAAGGTATTCTTCAAAAATCAGCCAATTTATTTAAATGATCATAACTTGAAAAAATTCAGTCGGAATCACCTCAAGCTTTTTACACAGCATATATAAGTACATCAATATGCATCAGAAAACGTAATAAAAATTGGGGGTGATTTCGGAACCATTTTTTGGAAAAAACCATGGGCTATAGCCTTGGGTATTTTTCAGATTTTGGCTCATTTAAAAAAATGGCCATAACTTGAAAAATTAAAGTCGGAATCAACTCAAACTTTCTACGTAGCATAAGTACATTAATATGTATCAGAAAATGTAATGAAAATTGGGGGTGATTCCGGAGCCATTTTTTGGAAAAAACCATGGGCTATTATAGCCTTGGGTATTTTTCAGATTTTGGCTCATTTTTTTAAATGGCCGTAAATCAAAAAATTGAAGTCAGAATCAGCTCAAACTTTCTACACAGCATAAGTATATCAATATGTATGCAGTCATTTAAATAAGTTTTGATTGCAACCACTCATTATAAATTTGTCATTAATGTGAGAAAATTGTATTCAGTATCCATGGGCACTCTTATTGTACCATAGCATGCTGTGGCCTAAGCACTTCATTCTATCTTTTCTGATTTATGAAATTGCTTTATCAAGTTATTATCAAATTCTATATATGGCATTATTATAAATTTCATTCAGCGATCGTTGGTCTTGCGAGTATAGCTTATTTTGTGTTACTCTAAACGATAGTAATAGGGGAAGAACTATAAAGAGATAGTACTCTAAACTTTGTGTAAGATGTATTGAAATGGTATTGATATGATCTTATGAATTGATGATAACAATATGTGTTATAATAAGTGCATTTAACCTTTTAATTCAACTATAGTTGAATTAAAACAACTTATCCCACACAAAGTGTAGAGCAATAACATGTTTTTAACTTTTTGATGCAGCCTATATATAGTCACTGTGGAACTGGTACCCTAAGAGAATTTTCATTCATAAGAGTATGTCATGTACAATGTAACTACTCTATTGTCTTACTGATGGTGTTTTATTGTCTGTTTATTATACATGTAGTGTGTTTCGTTTGTTAATGGTTTGTTTGTACGTGCACTGTATATGTGTACTACTTACATGTAAATGATGCTCTATTGTTACTAGCACTAACATTGAGAGAGTGTTAGCAGTACACCTCTTCATTGTGTACAAATGTAATAAATAGATCAACTGTGTATGTGTAGGTGTGTGTGTAGGTGTGTGTGTGTGCCTAACTTCTCTGCCATTTCCCTCCTTGTCCCTCTCTCTCCCTCTCTTAATTCCTCTCCCTTCTCCTCTTCTCTTACAGTGTGTGAGTACATGCATTCCTGGGTCAGCATTATGTGCTTCTTCATTAACTTTACTTAAATGGAGGACAGCTTGTCGAATGGCTGACTTGGCATAGTCTTTGCAATGACCTTTCAGTACAGACTGTGAGGCAAAGAAATAATAACATTAATTCAGACAACACCTACACAGTACACATACACATACATGTACAATAGTGAATGATGACATCAATGTCACCAGAGCCACATGACGGGCGTCCATGCCAAATCAAGATGAGTCAGGGAGTGTTACTAGTGTAAGTCCATCAACTGATATAGTGAGAAGAGGTTCAGCTAGGAAGAGGAAGTATACTGTTGGTGGTTTATTGGTTGAAGTGAATGAGTTAGAGAATATAACTAATGGATCAGTGGATGATCCAGTCACTAATAGTGATATTAATGTTGATTCATGTTCCAGGAGTGAGGGGAGGGAGAGTGAAGGAGGAGGAGGAGGTCATAGGTCACTGCAGGTTGGGTTTGTAATACCTGCTATACTGTAAATAATAATGATACCTTTATTATAATGTACACAGCCAAGAGTTTGTGATTGATTCATGAATGATGTCAGTCCTGATCCAGCCTAATGCATCCTGAATCATGGATGTTGGGCAGCTAATATGGCAATGAGCCTAGCTGGATCTATCGGCAGCCTTGATACAATCATGCTGGAATTCATACTGGTTCAGCCAGAGCAACATGCATGATTCAGCAATGATACTTGTTAGGCTGCATCAATACTGTAATCAGGCTCAATTCATTGATTCTGGGCAGTGTCTTGTGTCATAAATGTTAACTCTTGGCAGTGTAATTGTGTTTATAATCTTAATCTACTATAGACTATCTAGTTATT